ATCCCACACATCTCCTTGGGACGGTTGGTGGGGGGTGGGGGGGAGGGAGGGACCGACCGACCATCTGTTACCCCGTGAAGAATTATTATTTTTTTTTATTAACTGAAGATATTTGTTTTAGCTCATAAAATTCATACAAATTACCCGGTCTGAATATAATTTACATTGCTGGAATTCTTATAATTTGATGATCATTTTGAATATAAACATCATATATTTTGCATTAGACATACAAATTTTAGATAAAAATTTTTCTCAAATTAACTATGTTATCTTTTGTGCAAAATATATGACATTTATATTCAAAATATTCCTGGTCTTACAAGGAATCCAGCAATGTCAATTATATTATCCTAACTTTAATCTGAGGTATTATTTAATACTAAATGTTAAAAACCCTGGAAGGGAGGATTGGTGGGGGGTGGGGGGGAGGGTTGGGACTGACCGCGCGGTTGGAAGAGGGGGGAGGCAAGGTGGGGTACTTTGATTGACAGATAGTGTCGTGAAGATTATTTTTTTTTTTATTAACTGAAGATATTTGTTTTAGCTCATAAAATTCATACAAATTACCCGGTCAGAATATAATTTACATTGCTGGAATTCTTATAATTTGGTGATCATTTTGAATATAAACATCATATATTTTGCATTAAACATACAAATTTTAGATAAAAAATTTTCTCTAGGTAACTATGTTATTTTTTGTGCAAAATATATGACATTTATATTCAAAATATTCCTGGTCTTACAAGGAATCCAGCAATGTCAATTGTATTATCCTAACTTTAGTTTGAGGTATTATTTATTAAAATTTAGTGGTTTTCCCCCAAAAATTTCTCTGAGAGGGAAGAGCCGGCAGTGTAGTGTGAGAGGGGGAGGGAGTTGAGTCCATTATTTGAATGGACATTAACTTGGCGACTGTATTTCTCTATTTCTCTTAAGTATTAATTGTGTGCATGTACCATCATAAAATTAAGATGTTATTTTTACTACAACATAGGTATGTGCCTTCAAAAAGTGGAGTTTGGGGGTCGGGCCGGTTTCTATTGGAATTAATCCCATATGTTCTGTTGTTCACTTAACGCGGATTTCACTTAACACGGGACCCTCTGGGTTCTATTGACCGCGTTAAGTGGGGTACAACTATATATATATATATATATATATATATATATATATATATATATATATATATATATATATATATATATATATATATATATATATATATATATATATATATATATATATATATATATATATATAAAAGAGGAAGTCTAACAGGGGAACAGGACCAGATGCTAGGTTCAGTTATCAACCTAGAGGAAATCTTAGAGAAGGAAACAATTCAAGATGTAGTAAGGGTGGCCGTTTGTTCAGAAGTGGAAGGAGACCTTATTCCACCACATCAGCGACCACTCCCTCCCAATGAAGCCAGACCGCTGGATAGTCTAGGGCAGGGGTGGGCAATTATTTTTGATGGAGGGCCACTTCATGAATGGTGGTACACTTCGCGGGCCACAGGTTAACAGCGACGAGCCAGTATTGCTGCTATGTCCACCCAACTTCCAAAATTGTCCTTTCTGTAATTAATAAGAATTTTTTTTTCTGATTGCCAAATGCAGTGGCGGGCCACAGAAATAATTTGGCGGGCCAAATGTGGCCCGCGGGCCGCACTTTGCCCACCCCTGGTCTAGGGGGTTGGAAAAATAGGTGGACTTCTTCCATATGGGCTTACAAGACAATCAATGGCGGCCTCACATGGACTTGGTTGAGGCGCCCTCCCTTAGTGTTACCAAAAAGGGGTCAAAAACCAAACCCCTTACTCACAGAATTTGTAATTCAACTGTTAAACAGAGGTGTGATAGAATTATTCCAGTTAGAGAAATGCTTCATGTTTTGCCTATTCCCAGTCCCCAAAGAAGACATCGACAAATTAAGGGGGATTTTAGATCTTTCCATCCTGAACAAGTTCATTATCAAAACAAGTTTCAAGATGCTCACTTACAATAACCTGAGGCATCTATTTCCGCCCAATACTTGGATCTCGAAGATGCCTATTATCACGTGCCTGTTGCTCCCAGGTACATAAAGTTTCTAGTGTTCGCAGAGGGGGATGTAAGTTATCAATTCACAGTGATGCTATTCGGACTGACAATTGTACCAAAAGTGTTTACAAAACTGGCAAACATCCCCAGAGATATCCCTGCGAAGGAAGGCATAGGAACTTTTGCTTATCTAGACGATTGGCTGATAGTGGGAAGCTCTTTCGAAGATTGTCAAAGGGCGACCCAATGTACACTCGTACTATTTCAAAACCTAGGATTAAAGATAAACCAGGTCAAATCAAATCTCATACCATGTCAGAAATTGGATTGGTTAGGTCTCCATTGGGATACCAATCAGCAGTCAGTCAGTCTACCAGAAGCAAAGGTAACAGATGTGATAAACCAAGTAGAAACCTTTTGTGTAAAGCAAGAGGTTTCTTGGCACAATTGGGAAAAACTTCTGGGTCTGTTGAATTTTGCCACCATAGTAGTTCCTTTGGGCAAGTTAAGGAAGAAACAACTAACTCATCTGGGGTCAAATTTGCTTCACAGAAACAGAAATTTTGCTTCTTCTCTCCCTATTCAGATCAAGAATCTTTTGTCTTGGTGGAAGAATTGGGACAATCTAATCGGTTCATCTCCCTGGGTTCCGCCTCAAACAGACTTGGTCATTTGTATGGACGCGTCCGAAATAGGATGGGTATGTATACCATTCCTCAAAAGGAGAGTTCCATCAAGGGAAGTGGAGCAACTCCCTTTGGAACAAATACTTAAGCATAAAAGAATTAGCAGTAGTTCTATTCTTTTTGTCGGCAAACCCAAATTTCAAAAACATGATGATTCTGTTTGCCATGGACAATAAAGCGGCAGTGTCTTGTCTCAATCATCAAGGCTCAACCAGATCTTGGCCTTTTCTAAACCTATCGGAAAAATTTTTCAAAGTTTGTGTAACACAATCACTTTACCTCAAAGCAACTCATATACCGGGAGTACAAAACAATTGGGCAGATGCATTGTCTCGTCTCAGGCCAGTATCAACGGAAACAGAATGGTCCCTAAGATATTGAAGTTAAAGAGTCTAGTGAGGAAGTTTGGGACTCCACAAATAGATCTCTTTGCCTCACAAAACAATCACATGATGCCGCTTTATGCATCTCTGGAACGGTCGAATCTTTTAGGAAATGCTCCACTCATAGATTGAACAATTGGAATTCAATCTGTCTGTTCCCACCTGTGAAAATGTTGCCCAAAGTGGTTCACAAACTCAGATCCTTCCAAGGGAAGGTCCTCTTTATTGCACCATATTGGATCCTACAACAGTGGTGTCTCGATCTGTTGGACTGGTGCCCACATCCACTATAATTGCAACAGGGATCATCTAGAACAGGTACTGCACTCTCAGTTCGAGATATCCTTGGCACTTCACGCTTGGAGTTTCTTGAAAGATGTTTAAATAGATTGTTGGGTAATTCCAATATCGTCACCCAAGTGTTAGCAGGTCATAGGCCCCAAACTTCTATGCAATATGAAAAAGCTTGGAAACTTTTTCAACAATTTATCAGGTTAACGACTACAAACACATTATAGGAAACAGTGGTGTTAGAATTTTTGGATTTTCTGTTCAGAGTTAAAGGCCTTCAAGGATCGACAATTGCATCTTATAAATCAGCATTGGTCGACCTTCTGGCGTGGGGTTTTAATATCACTTTGAACCCAAGAATTTATTAAATGCTCAGATCGTCCTTTTTTATTCAGAGACCTTCTCGGCCTAAGAAAATCCCACCATGGTCTCTAGATAAAGTTACTACATTTCTTATGGGGCCTAATTACTAATATATCTGCACTGGGACAGATTGCTCCAGAAAAAACTGCTTTTTTTTTTCTAAAACTGCTTTTCCTGGGAATTACTTGGCACTCATTTTATGGGAGACTTATGGGAGAACATCCATAAAGTTGGAAATCTGTAACCAAGGGAGTGTCTGTATACAGTACAGTGAACCCTCGCTTTTCGCGGTCAATTGAATCCACGGCTGCCCGCGTAAAGCGAGAAACGCGTAAAGTGAACAACATAACATATGGGATTAATTGAAATAGAGACCAGGCCGACCATCAAACTCTACTTTTTCAGACACAATACCTACGTTGCAGTAAAAATAACTTCTTAATTTTATGATGGTATGCACACACAATTAATAATTAAGAGAAATATCAATAATATTAGGTTTTTTAACACTTACATTAGTAGAAAAGATGGCTGGGCACATGGGGATGGGGTGTTGGTTCCGAGGCAGAGGGCAGATTATTGGCCCTCACCTGTATCACTTGTATCAATTGTATCACTATCCATCACAGAGGCTTGCAGGGCCTCTTTGTCAAACCCCTCAAAGTCCATATAAGTCCATATCCTCACTATCATTATCACTGACTTGGGCAGTCTGTGGTGGGTGGCGGGTGAAGAACTCGGTAATGTTTTGATGACTGGGTGACCTTGTGCGCACCTTGCCCGCGCCGCTCTCCGCGTAAGTGAGCATTAGGGGTCTGGCAGGGTACTGTGTAAACGTGGAAACGCGTAAAAAAAATGCATAAAGCGGGGTAATACTGTATTACTTTGCATTCAATACCTTATTTTTGTTCCTACAATTTTTTTTTTAATTCTGATTAATATCTTTATATCTACCTAAAAAAGAGAGTACAACTATATAATAGGTGTAAAACTTAGTCAGAGTGAAATATACATGTAAAATAGAAACTTTAGGGTCTTAAAGAATAGATTCTCCAGGTTCCCAGTGTGTTGTAAAGGGTGAGGTTAGGTATCCTTACACTACAGAATACAATATCAAATAAAGATGACTAGATGTAAACTTTATGAGATTTGTTTGAAAATTTTAAACTGAGTATAATAAATTTTTGTTTTATTTATATCATGTTTAACTTTTGTTCTGCCAGAAGGAACATTTATAGACCCGAATTCACTGGGTGTACAATGCAGTCCTATGTGCTGCATCAAGTTCAATATGACTGATGAAATGGCATCAATCAACTTTGCAATAACCATCGGTAACCCAGACTCCCAGCTAGCTCTTTTCTTAAGGTAAGGTACTACATTTTCACATTTATCATAATTGCAAGGAAATTTCATCAGTGTGCTGTATATCAGATAAGATTTCATAAGACATAAGTTCATTGTTCACATTTTGCTCTAATAGAGATGGTGACTGTTAAGCTCTTTTATGTCTTCTTCCTCAATACTGTACAGTATTTTGAAAGCTATTTATCTTTAAAGGACACTCCTCAGTCAATAGATATGACAATGACACATGTCTGATCTGTCCCTGCAGGTTTTTATTGTTTAAGAATATACATATGAGTGCATTTGAATGTGATTAATGATTTCTGATTACTGTGTATTTATCAATTCATGAGACATGAAGACCTGATATTTTCCAACAAAATTGGACAGAGAATGAAATAATAAGAACATTTGGTTAATGGATAACAAGCAATAATTAATATTTTGTTATAAATAACTAGACAAACTGGATGAGTTTAACATTCTCTCACCTTATATAATATGTTATTGGAGAGAACCTGTGGTTATATTATAACGTAACTCATAATTTTGTGTTGGGACCTAGTGCTTGAGTTATGAACACTGTGTTCTCCATTAAAGTAACCAATATATTACGAAAAAAAATTTTTACCAAGCAGATGGGAATTGGGTATAATGCAATTGAGTAAACATAACTATTTAATGCAAATAGGAGTACGTGGTTGTGCAGCTGCCTCGGCATAACGTCACACAAAGCGAGATGCTAGTGGCCATTTCTAGATGCTGCCCACATAGGCAATTTGGTAATGAAAACTCCATTTGGTAATTAAAGAAAATGATTTGGTATTAACCCTGAATGAATTCAGTTAACGTGTGTAATCATAGGGGGTGAACTTGGAGGTGGGCAGTGATAATTTAACTGCTCAGTGTGACTGAATTATTACCGATTTAGTGCAAACAACTTTATCTACTTTATCTGCCTCAAAACCCAAACTTTTCCTTCTTCTTGGAAGCATGCCTCGGGTTCAGTCCATCCCGAAGAAAGGTAACCATTCCAATCCCTCTAACTATCGCCCCATTGCCCTAACTTCATCCCTCTCTAAGATTTTTGAAACTATCTTAAACTCTCGTTTTCTCCGTCACCTTGAACTCCTTTCTCGTTTGTCGGATCACCAGTATGGCTTTCGCCAGGCAAGATCTATTGGTGATCTGCTCTCCTGCTGCACCCATCTTTGGTCATCCTCTCTTAGGGATTATGGGGAAACTTTTGTCGTAGTCCTCGACATCTCCAAAGCATTTGACAGGGTATGGCACAAGTCTTTGCTTTCTAAACTTACATCTTATGGTTTCTGTCCCCCACTTTGTTCTCTAATTTCTAGCTTCCTTGAGAACCGATCCATGGCAGTTGTTATTGAGGGATCGATCTCTCGCTCTTTTTCTACCAATAGTGGTGTCCCACAGGGTTCTGTTCTTTCACCTACTCTCTTCCTTCATTTGATCAGGGATTTACTTCACACTTCGACTAATTCTGTCCATTCTTACACTTCACCCTTCTTCACATTTTTCCCTTCCCCTAACTCACAAACTAGATCTGTTACTACAGCTGATATCATTCCATCTATCAATGTGGATCTGTGCAGCATCTCCGAATGGGGAGGTAGAAACTTGGTTAAATTCAATTGTAATAAAACACAGTACAGGGTGTCCTCGCTTAACCTCGGGGTTATGTTCCTGAATATGCGATGTTATGCGAAACAACGTTAAGCGGATCAATTTTCCCCACAAGAAATACATAAAATACGGGAGTTATGTTCCTGAGCCTCCCTTTGCCCCATGAAAAAAGTTACATATACAGAAAATTATTGCCATTTCTATAGAAAATAGTATATAGAACTACAGTACTAAGTTTGTATTGGTACTCACCGATGGCCGTAGGTGGTAGAGCGAGTGTGTGGTGGGTAGTGGAGCGAAGGAGGAGGAGGGTGGGAGCGGAGGAGGAAGGTGGTGAGTCACTGAGACTCTGCAATTGCCTCCTCCTCCTCCTCTGCTCTGACTGGGGTTCCTCCGCTGCTGTTTGCTCCTCCTCTGTTGTTGGCGGGAATGTCTTGGCAGCAACCGTATCTGAACTGGCAGCTTCACCAGTCATCTTTATGTTGTTGAAGTTATACCGACGCTTAAATCGTTGAAACCATCCTCGGCTGGCCGTAAAGGTCTCTTCCTTCAATCCTTCACCCTCTGTTTCCTTCATGTAGTCAAACAAGAATCTGGCCTTATGCTGGATAACCATAAGGCTCACAAGGGCATTGCGTTGATTCTGGTCCTCCATCCACATTGCCAGCATCTTTTCCACCTTCTCTATCACAGTGCTTCTAGTATGAGTCGTCTTAGTAGCACTCAGAGAAGAACTACTTCCAGCAACTAACCTTAATCTTGTCAGCGTTGGTCCGGATAGTACACACCATTGTGGGGGTTAGACCAAGCACAGCGGCTATGTCCACAGCACGTTCCACTTTTTCAAATCAGGTTAATACATTCATTTTCGAAGCAAGGGTAATGGTCTTACGTTGCCTCTTAACTACACTAGCATCAGTATCACTTGATGGGCGCTTGGAAGCCATTTCGAATGGTTAGAGTACAGTTTTAGAGCAAAAGCACTTAGGCACACACGAATGATGTGAAGTCGTAACAGAGACTGGCTTGGCGTCACTTGGGGACGCTGTGACATTCCGCAAGTGAGGGCAGCGCGCCGAGCCAAGAGAGCGTAGAGCGGCCAGACAAGAGTGGGTGATGCGCCATAGAAAGTAGTCCGTGATGAAACAAAACGATTTAATATCGGATTACCGGGACGTTAAACAAATTTTTGGTCTCTAAAGTTCAGTGATGCAGTACCGAAACAACGTTAAGCAGGACGACGTTAAGCGAGGACTGACTGTATTTACCAATTACACAAATCACATTTCAGGATGCAATCATTCTGCCAAATTCTAAAATAGATATGCTAGGCCTCACCATTTCCTCTAATATGTCATGGAAGCCACACATCCACAACATTGCTAAAGCTGCCTTCCGAAAGCTGGGAATGCTGTACAAATGCTGTAGCTACTTTACACCTGAGCACTTGCTTCAAGTTTATAAGGGATTCATTCGTCTTAAATTGGAGTACTGCTCTTCTGTCCAACTGTTAAATAGGGTGGAATCAAAGGCATTTCGTCTTATTAACTCTCCTCCTTTAGTTGATAATCTCTCTTCACTTTCTCTTTGCCGTAATGTTGCATCACACTCTCTCTTACAGGTACTTTAACGGGCAATGTTAGGTGGATTTGGTATCCTGTGTACCGCCGGCAAAGCCGTGGGCTCATAACACTCTTCTTGCCCGCGGTGCCCAACATTTCTCTGTGGATGTCGGTTACACTAGAATAACCCTTTATATTATATCCTTCTTTCCTCACACAGTCAAACTGTGGACTGCTCTACCCCTAGATGATAGTTCCGGAACCACAACCGGGGCATAGGGGTTACTATGTATATAGTTGTCAGGGACTCGAAGATTATAAAAGGCAGGGTGTTTAATTATTTTGCTTTTAAAATGCCACCGACTTGACTTTGCAGAATATAACTTGCATTGTTGGAATTCTTGCAAGATAGCATTTAATTTGAGTATAAACATCCATAGTTTGCACTAGACATAAATTTTTTTTTAATTTACTTAGTACATTTGAGTCCAGGTTGTGATAATTTATGAGGTTTCACAGCAGTTGTGGTTGCAGTTGCAGTTGCGAGCCATCATGTATCAATTAATTTTAAATTAGAAATTATAAAGTAAAATGTTAAAAGACAGTAGTTTAGTAGTGCTGTTAATGTGTGTGAAATGTAAATGTCTTGGCATGTCACCTCACCACCTGACTCCCGTCACCTCACCACCTGACTCCGTCACCTCACCACCTGACTCCGTCACCTCACCACCTGACTCCGTCACCTCACCCTTTGCCTCGTTAGCTCAGCTCAGAATTACATTGATTTGTAAATGTATTATTTTACTTTTTTAGTACTGTAAAGTAGACTCGCAACTAATGTGGGGGTTATGCTCCTGGGACCACGCATAAAGTCAGAAACACTCCTAATAAAACCCTAAATTGCCCTTAAATCATTATACAGTATATACGTACATATATTGTACACTAGAACTCATAAATCACTACTGTAATGTATTACAGGTCCACAATCCCTTTTCCCTTATTTGAGGTGTGTAATGTCTGCTATCTTGCAAGGATAAGAGTAATGCAAATTATATTCTCTTAACTTTAGTATGTGATAAAATTTTAAGCCTAAAACTACCTTCACCCTTGGGAAGGGGGAGGTGATGTGTTAACAGCAAGGCGGGGGGGGGTGAGATATTCACCAGCTGGTGGGAACATTAACCCTTAGGCCCCGGGTGATGCCCCAGAACGTGCGCCTATTCCCACCATTGCTTAAATGTCCAGCGCAGGTTATCAGGTTCCAGTGCGACTATTTGCCTGTTACTCCACACCTCGGCCACAGGGAACTTCCTGAACGAAATTACCTACTTTTGTTTGTTTCATTTTAAATTGTTTGTCCATTTTATCATGTTGTATCAAAGTAATATTGCTAAAAGTAGTGTACAGTCGGCCCTTAACATACGGGGGTTTAGAATACACGGATTTGCAAATATGCGGATTGCCCCGCCGGAGGAATATTCTGTACATTGAAGTAATTGAAGTACATTCAACTCGCGCGCGGCACTGAACACGGGACACCGCCCGCTCCTGCAACCTCACACACACACACACACACACACAGCTCTCCCTCACTCAGTCAGTCTCGCTGTAACCACGCTTGTGTTGACATCAGCATTGTAGTTGCAAAAATATTACATTTCCATGAATGTATTATATCAAGCACAGTATGAATAGAATATCACTAATATAAGAGTATTTTAACCAAAAACTACTAAAAAAACGAGTAACATATCTTGAACATGGGAAGGTTAGGTAAAGTCTTTTGTTTTCATGTAGTTTATCCTAATTTTCATTGAAATGCATTACGTTTCAGCAAAACTACTATTTATTTCTGAGAATATGGAAATGTAATATTTTGCTGAAATGATGTACGTATTACAGTGGATAGTGACGAAAGCAATGACTCACTTTCTTTCGTTCAAAAGATGTTACCGTAATCGCTTTTCGAATGGTTTTCAGTTAAAAAACTGTTGTATTACAATAATATTCTATCCTAATTCACTTGTGATGCAACGAAAGTCATTGTTTTCGTCACGATTTTATCCCACTTTCCACTGTAGTACGTACGTCAATTCAGCAAAGATATTACATTTCCGTGAATGTAGTATATCAAGCACAGTATGAATATAATATCATTGTAATATAACAGTATTTTAACCGAAAACTATTAAAAAAAACGAGTAACATCTCTTGAACATTGGAAGGTTAGGTAAAGTCTTTTGTTTTCGTCATGTATTTTATCCTATTTTACATTGAAATACATCACGTTTCAGCAAAACTACTATTTATTTCTGAGAATATATTCATTCAGGCACAGTTTAGGTAAAATATACATGTGCTGTAACATTTTTTTAATTGAAAACGATTCGAAAAACACGTACCCTCTAGCCCTGTTCAAGGAGAAGACTGGGAGGAGCTGTTTGGTGCTTAAGATGATGACAAGGAAAATGATTTTGATGGATTTTAATGAAAATATTCAGAAAGACCCTGGCACTGTCAAGGAAAGTGGCTGCTGAAGGCTTCCAGGACATGGCAGAGGACGAGATTAGGGAGCTAATTGAAGAGCACGACACTGAGCTGACCGAGGAGGATCTGCAGGAGTTAGTAGACTCAGGCAAGGAAGAGGAAGAGGAAGCGAAAGGGAAAGAGGATGAGGAAGAGGAAGAGCACCAAGAAATAACATTGGAGAAGTCGAGGGAGATGACCAGGAATATTGAGGCACTGAAAAACCTGGCCTATAGTATGGACCCCTCCATGGTGCGTGCCCTGAAATTCATGCGAGGGATGGATGACGTTTTCGCTCCATACAAAAACATCATGGAAGAAATGAATGAAAGAGACGACAACTCCCCATCACCATGTTCTTTGATCACCGAGAGAGAGATTTAACACCATCAATCACTGGCGGCAGTGAGGAAGCAGCTGAATCCACCGTCGCCCCCACTTCACCACCCGTTATGGAATTGAGTGACGGTGAGCCCGATGACCCCCGTCCTGTTGCCGACGATAGGTACTGTACAGTAAAGTGACATTTTTATCTCTTTTTTTTTTAATAGCTTTTCTTGCCATGCTTATTGTTTGTAAAAATGCACAGCACAGTACAGTTCAGTACTGTACATAGGAGGTGGAGGTGCAGTTATTCACAAAACATTTGTGTTTGTTGTCAGCAGTAGTGACGGTGAGGAGGTGGAGGAGGCGGAAGAGGGAGCGGAGGGAGCGAGTTGGGAGGAGTGGTGACCTTGGACGCGGTAGCAGGGACGAGATGCCAGCCAGTACATTATGGGTGTATTAATTGTTTTTATAGCTATTTTTGCATTTTAATATTAAATACTGTACATTACGTTTCAACAAAACTACCATTTATTTCTGAGAACATGAAAATGTAATATTTTTGCTGAAATGATGTACGCATTACAGTGGAAAGTGGGATAAAATTGTGATGAAAGCAATGACTCTCTTTTTTTCGTTCAAAAGATGTTACCGTAATCGATTTTTGAATGGTTTTCAGTTGTGGGATTATAAGGCTAATGATAGGATAGAATATTATTGTAATACAGTACGAGTACAACAGTTTTTCAACTGAAAACCATTCGAAAAGCGATTACGGTAAAGTCTTTTGAATAACGAAAGAAAGCGAAAATCATTGTTTTCGTCATGATTTTATCCCACTTTCCACTGTAATATGCTCGTCATTCCAGTAAAAATATTACATTTCTATATTTATTTCTGAGAATATGTATATTCATTCAGTCACAGTTAAGGTAAAATATACTTGTGATGTAATATTTTAATGAAAATACGGTATCGTAGTTTTCTTTTGTTTCAAATTTAATTAACAAAGATTGATGTTTCAAATGTAATGAACAAAAATTTATGTCCAGTATCTATAAATAAACTTTAATAAATGAATACTTTATGTTTTACATCGTCCTGTGCTACCATACCATGGATTTAGCTACTTTGGGCTTGCTATGATGACGCAAGAGATCTGCCCTGGCAACTGTACCGACACTCACAGCTGGTGGTGTGTTGGTGCATCGTTTCCATTGTTTACTGGTAGTTACTGGTAAATATTTTTCAACCTAACGAAACTATTACCCTTTTAGAGGTCGACCCCCAATTTTTTGCCAAATAATTTGGTCTGAAAAACTCGAACTACACACAGGTATATACGGTAAATAAGTATATGGGGGCCAGGGTTTTATTTGAGGGGGGGGCAGCACATGTACGCGGATTTTTAACATCCATGGCTATCTCTGTTACGTAACCCCCGCGTATGTTAAGGGCCGACTGTAGTTGTATTGTAGTGTAGTATTACTCTAAAATAATGCTATGATTATGTTATAAATGTATTTTTTTGTGGAATTATTATTATTTTGTGCATTACCTGTTTTTATGAAAAATAATGCAAATTAAACATTTTAAATTAATTATTTATAGCAAATAAGTATTAAGATTGGTAAATATATACATTATTGGCCACCTCGGACACAAAGGCAAGCTAAAAATAGCTGCGAAGTGCGGAGGGACCACGAGCGTCAGCTGTGAAACCAACGCTGTCTCCTTATCTCTCTCCCTCCTCCCTCCCTCCGCACAGCCAGGGAAGTTTCTTGAGGGACAATATATAGCTTTTCTTGCTTAGTTTTTATGGTTTTAAGATTTTAAAAGGTTAAAAATTATTTTTGGAAAAGTTAATTTTTCTCGATTTAACCCCGCAGAAAGGGGGGAGGGGTACTGCCACCAGCACCCTAACCCAGGGCTTAAGGGTTAATCCCATGCGTCTTATTTGTCATATAGAGGAGTTTAAGTTTTTCACTTATAAAATGTCACTGAATTGACCGGGAAGAATTTAACTTACATTAATGGAATTCTTGTACAGTACAACAATTATTAATTTGAATATAAACATGCTATAGTTTGCACTAGACATAAAAAAATAGTAACTCTTTAGTACATTTGAGTACATGTACAGTACAGCTTTGCCCTTAGGACAATTATTTCTTTTGACTTTTTTCACAATATGTATTTAGGATAGTGTTTGGATATTATGAACGAGTATGAGAGGTTTAAGCGCACTAAATTGACACACACGAGAGGCAGCTGTTATTCGGACAATACCCACGCGGCAACTGAAAACAGAGGGGTGGGATGGTGGGTTGGAGCGTTTGGCAGGCTGGTGTTTGGCTCGCTTACGACCCATTTTGACAATTTTGAGCTTCAAATTGGAAATTGTAACATAACCCGCCAAAGAAAAATGCATTTAAGTTGCAAGTGTACTGTATGTACATTTAAAGAAACATTTATATTTGCACAGTAATTATAAATAGGCCCAGAGCAGAAAAATCCAGCGTTACCCAAGAGGTTGGTCTTCCCACCCACGCACCAACCATGTGAGGATGCGGCTAAACATGAAGCAGTTTTTCATTATGCCAGGAACCCTTGTCCCCAGGGCCTGAGCAGAAAGTCTTGGAGTGATTTTCTCTCAATTTTCTCAGATTTTCCTGTAATTGCATTCATAATCGATTTGCTCCCAGACCCAGAAATAAAAATTTGGCCAGATATTCCAGATTTTTTTTTTTTTTTTATTCAGAAAATGCTCCTGATTTTCAACCTCGGAATTTGTTCCCAAACCCAGAGTTTAGGGAATTTTATGGAAGAATTATAAGCAAATTTCAATTCCGGCTATTGGAGAGTTCAGGGTCTTAGGGATTCCAGCTAACGGAGATATTAATACTGTAGTTAAATATTTACCCTGTCATGGTAACATTTCGCAGGCAGGGTTTGCAAATGCTCAGATGTTTTAGTTTTTAATATCTTACAACTAGTTGAACACTAATATGTACAGTATTGTTCATTATTGGTCTAGGAACCTTGGTATGACTAATGTCAACCAATTTTCCTATAGTTAGTACTGTACAGTGAGCTGATTGAGTCTACATTTTCACTTTCCATTTAGATGACTTTCAGCTTTTCCTTTCCTTTCCCATTACTCCCTATCTTGCTTCTTTATAAATAGGAGTTTTTCCTGTACAGTGTGTGTGTGTGTGTACTGTACTGAGAAATTTCTTGCAGGAAGAAGAAGAAACCAACATTTACCGAGTATGACAGCCTGGTGAACCTTAACAGCGTGGAAAGTGTGAAGAATGTATCTGAGGTGCTTTTGGAACCTTATGACCTTTATGGCAACGATACCAACATCTATACGTAAGTAATTTAGAGTATTTATGGAAAATGTTGTGTAAAAAAATTAGGCCTATAAAGCAGTTTTACATCTTTTTGTCTGCCTCTCTGCCTGTCCATTTGGTGTCCTCATCATAATCATATTTTTCATATGGATTCAGTTTAAGATTAAGTTTTATGTTGGCTCTTTTAGGAGTGTTGACTTATTTCTGTTTACAGGTGTATGTTTCCTGTCACAATTTACTGAGCAAAGTTAGACATTTTCCACATTTAGTTTCTTCATGACATTGTAATATTAATTTTCTGTATCCTGTTATGCCATAATTTAGCAACTTGAATTACATTAAAGATACGTACCTGTATAATAATGAGAGCACATATGGCACAACAAAAAACAAATTGGCGACTCGGCACAACTTAGTCCTTAATATTTATTCACGACAAACGATGTTAAATGCAAAAGTTACACACACCAATAAGGACGAAATTTTGCGTCATGGGTTCAGTCACAGCCCTCTTACTTTATCACAACAGTTCAGGGGTAAAGGTTTGGAATTATAATAAAAGTTTACCATAATAAATGTGCAAGTTAACTAATGAATGGATAAATCAAATCAAGAGAATAAATAATATATATGATCAATGACTTTGAAAACATTTAACATAGGACAAAACATCTTAGGCAATGACTCCTTACAAAGTTAAACTGCACTTGGTTTTCCATCCTTAATAAACAACTAATATGTGCACAGTATATAAACCATAAACCACTTTACATCACCACAATTGATTGCACTTTACACACAACAAATAATAATAGAGCAGCACTGAATATATAATACTCAACTAAACCATATTTGAGAAGGTGTCCACCACTGACAAACTCAGATGTCCTCTCACTTCCAATGCCCATCAATGACTAACAGACGGGCAAGGGGCGACCTAATTGAGGTGTATAAGCATCTCAGGGGGCACTACTCAGTCGAGTGTCCTTACTTGGAGCTGGCAGACGCTTGCTCCACAAGGGGTCACAGCTCAAGATTGAAGAAGCCGCAAGTCCAGAAAACTGTGAGGGCAAACTTTTTCGGAGCGAGAGTTGTGAACTCTTGGAACAATCTACCAGAAAGTGTTGTGACGGCACCGAGTGTGAGCTCTTTAAAGACAAGACTTGACCAACAGTGGAGCAGGTTCAGGTACATTCAAGAACCGGTGCATGCCCAGTACTTGCTAACGAGCCGATCATTTGTTGAAGAGGATAAAAGAAAAGGAAGAGTAACAGAGACGTGACGTATCGCCCAAGTGGCTAACGAGTCGATCAGTGGTGAAGAGGATAAAAGTAAAGTAAAGTAACCCACCATTTATCAGTGGAATACAAGCCTAAACAGTACTAATATAAAACAAACTCCTACATTAAGCTGTAAAAATAGTTAAACATACATACATTTTTGGAAATTTTTTTTCACATAATTATGCAAAATTGTATTGTACATACATACAGTACATCCCGACACCAATGCCAACACCACAACGGAAGGGGGAGGTTAACGAGCATAAAAATATTTCGCTATGCATAACTGAATGTATTACTGTGCATTACACCGTGCATAACAGTCCTTTGTGAAGATTACTGACTACTTTGGAAGATCAACTATCCAAAATACAATTACCAGGTAACCCTGTAAATTATTGGATTGTTGGTCCAGGAGAGTTGTGTGAGGTGGAATATTCCATTGGTTAGAGTTTTCTCTTTTACCTTTTAACCCATTAAGCATCCATGTCCCATGGGTTAGTTTCCTGAAAAACCATTCGTTAAGTGAATTTAAGTATTGCGAATAAAAGAACATTTGGGAAAAATAGGGTTTTGTTTCTTAATGACAAGAAAGCCCCGAGAACATTAACCCTTAAAACCCGGGCGACGTAAGACCCGCCGGAGCCCTCCACATGAGCATATTTCAGTCCCCAAAATGCACTTGTTTAAAAGACAATTATTCCACTCTATATAAACAATATGGCTTAGAAATAAATTAAATATAATACAGTGGTCCCATGTTCAAAACAAATCGTGATTTTCGTAAGGATTTCGTTAATCAATTTTTTTTTCGTTAACCGAATTGAAGATTATTATGGAAGGTAATTCGTTAACCGAATTTCGTTAACAAAAGCATTCGTTAACCGAGGGACCACTGTAGTATGTATAAAACTATAAAATTAGAAAAATGAAGTGCATGGGTGTGTATTTGTGGGAAGTGAACATGTGTGTGGCTAACTCACTATTCAGGCAGCTGCGTTTATTGTTACTTGTATTGAAACTATAAAAGTTTTGGAAAAATCATTGCAATACTCTAATGTGGCTTAGAAATAAATAAAATGTAATATAAAGCTATAAAATAAGAAAAATAAAGAGCGTATATGGGAAGTGAATGCGTGTTGAGGCGGTAGGTAACTGGTCTATAACTGCTTGGCATAGCATACACACAGTCTTGAGACAAAGATTATATGTGAGTTGAGTTGCCAATTAAACAAATAGCCCATACAAAGTACAGTATTTTGTCTTGCCTGGACATTCAAAGTATGCTGCAAAAATTAAGAACGCTGAGGAACTTCACCTGGGCAGCGTCACAGAAGTAGAGATGAGTGGGGATTTGACTAATGTCCCATGGATCACAATTTGAATCATCCTTGCAGTCATATATGAATATGGATTCGTGCATGATAGGTATCTTGATTGGGGATATCACGGGTATAGAAACACCTTTCCCTGACTGTACCATTATGTCTTTATTTATTTGTAAGTACTGTACAGTATATAATAAAGTTCATGCAATAATATGGTGGCTTGTAAGTACACAGGAGTGCCACAATGACTTGGTCACATCCACTCATAGGACAAGTATGAAGTCAGGTGTTGCTGTTATCCAATTACTCTAGTTTGATACACTCATTTGCTCTCTTTTTTTCTGTTTTCCTTAATTAATTTGTAAAAAGTTCTGAGATAAAAATGTATACCTGTATAGTGTTTTAAGAGAGTAAATTATTAATAATGGCTTGAAAATTATAATTAGATAATAAAAGTGCTTGAAATTAAGACCTAACAGTTTGAGGCATGTGTAAGATTGGTTGTGAGGTCAACTGATGAACACTAATTAAATCTGTTTGAGAAGAAAATTCAGGTAATACTGTTAGTTTCAAAAAGTTTTATTATTTTGGAAAATACAAAGACAGAGGGTGATGTTTATTGGGAAATAAAAATCCTTGCTTTTCCTTCACAATCTCATCTCACTGAGTCTCGTGTGACCATAATTAAAGAAAGATAAAGAATCTTTGCTTTGGTTCATTTGGCCACCATGCTGGTATCATGTACAGTATAAATGCAGAGTGAGTTCTGTGAGTCCAGACCCCCTCGCCATGTTCCCCCACCCACAACTTAAATTGGACCCCCCCCTCTCCTTTGTTATTCCTGGATCCATCCATGAAATGAGTTCATACAGTGAATGAAAATTTGGTCACAATAAATGAGTACAGATATCCTTGGTGTACAAACGTTCGAGCTAAAAAAATTTGCTTTAATGAATTTCTTAATTTAACACCTCTTTCTTATTTTATAAAAGCTACTCTCACTTATATGGACTTTGGTATTACCAAAATTTCAAATCTCATGCCCCTGGGAGTCAGCTGGGATGGCTATCTTGGTGAGATGTGCAGAGATGTACTCTCTCTCATTGATCATAACAACCCCCCTTTTGCATCTTCCATCAGTTGTGTCTTTCATTCCTCCATTTGTCATATGGGAAGTGCTCATTTTTATCTATGTATTTGTGCCATCCTTTCATTATTCTGTTCACCACGGCATCTAAGCATTCTGCTTATACTTCGGCTAACAGTACTACACCGAAAAAAATTGCAGAAGGCTGTGACTCTTGAGACAAAACTGGAAGTAATAAATGTCATGAGCTTGGTGAGAGCCCTACAAAGATCAGAAATGATCTTAGCCCTTCTTATTACCATGGAAAACTCCCGCATCTTCAATTTCAGTTTCACTCCCTCCACCAGTGGATTTTTTCCACTCCTTCCACGTCTGGTGTAACTGGGGTGTCTATAGCAGACAGCAGTAATGAGGTGGACAGGCCTCCTAATCTCGCTGAGTAAGGCCCTTACTCAGCCCACCCCTTCTGGTGAGGCCTGACAACCCTCCAAAATTATACTATATTTTAGCATTATTTAAATGTGTTTGTTAGTAATTTACAATAGTTGTGTACTATTTTCCATGAGTTAGATAAGCATTTATTGTTTTTCATAAACTGATTTTATGTTTTTGGGGTATAATATACTGTACCTTTGTTAATTCAGATCGTTATACAGTAAACCCTTGTTATTTGCAGGGGATAGGTTCCAAGGAATGGCGCGAATAGGCAAACCTGCAAATAGCAATTTATACTACCTTAGTGCACTACTGTATACCTACAGTATCCCAAAACAACCGACCAGCCTCCGCAGCACTCATCCCCTCTTTTAACTTATCTAATAATTTGACTTTCTTTGTCATAGTCATCACTGACTTCTTCCTTTTACATTTCACTCAACTAGCATCACTAGCATTGACACCAGGCAGTCTTTTAGGGTCCATTTTCACACAGAAACACTAAAGTTTTGAGAGTACAACACAAGATGCTGCAGGGGGTGACTCATTATGCTGCGGGAAAAGGCTCACAAGCTAGCCACCATCTGCTTACCGCAAATCAGCAAAATCGTGAATCACAAACTCACGAATGCCAAGGTCTACTGTAATTCGGATTTTGGCTTATATTTTTTATTTATTTATTTTTTTTTTTTTTCATGGATTAAACTACTATGTTTGAATTTGGAATGAATCTGAAATAACTGAGTACTGTAGTTCCAAAAAGTCGATTATTATTATAGGAGCACTGTATATTATGACAGATTAAGATGAATGAATTATAGGAATAAAATATGAATTATATTAAGATACAGCTCCTCCCTGACTTACGACCTACTCGACTTACGACCATTTCGACTTATGACCATTTCGACTTACGACCTGGATTTGGGTCCCCAACCCATTCGTAAGTCGGGGAGGAGCTGTACTGTACAAAATTACATTTGGTGTGTAGACGGGGAGAGGAGGTGGCGGAAGAGGGAAGGAGGGAGGACAACTCACCACCTCCAGCTCAGCAGCCCACAATCCCTTTATAGACAATACTGTACAGGGCATGCAATTTGCCATATTCCCATGTTATTTACGTTCATTTGGTGCCGGGTTAATGAAATGTTATTAAAAATATATTAAAGTTTCCAAAAAATCCCACACTGAATCCCAGATGACCTATTGTGCAGCAGTATATTCTCAGTCTCATGTTTACAGTGCGATAACACCTGATCAGTTCCGCTGACCCACTCTCCTTAATAATGTTGCCTGCACTCACCATCTCTCACGTATCATGTTGTCACTGCTCAAGAGGGTTGGTGCTTACCACAGGATCTGTCTTGAGCACTTACTAAAAAATATTGTAGCATAAATAATATTGTAGCGTACAGTATTTATCAGAACCTAATAAATATTATTGTAGTGTATAATGCGCCTCCACATGCCCTGGTTTATTCACTGATCAGTTGTCTAAGTGCAAAATAGTAATTAGAAATTAAGGTCTTATAAAATAATGATTTAGTAGTGCTGTTAATGTGTTTGCTGTGTAAGTGCCTCGTCACGTCTCCTCACTTTGTCTCCTCACCTCTTGTAGTGTTAATTTTTTATTACAGTATTATTTACCTTACTATAACTGTATGTACATTTAGAAAATATTTTTGTTTGCACAGTAATTATAAATAGATTATTTTATGTGGCAGCCAAGGCAAGGTGCAAGAACTGAATAGAAAAGGAACGAATAATCGAACACAAAAATTCAGAAATTGTCAAATAATGTCAAAATATTCCCAACCCTTTTTGTCGAATTACCTAAGGTATGGTGTATTGGGGTTTTCTTGTTATTGTAAAATGAATCCTATTTTTCCTACTTGTCCTGTTATTCAAGATATGAAAATTCACCTATTCATCAAGTGAGGGATATCTCTATGTAAAAGTGAAACTATGAAAAATATGCTAAGCAAATTGAGGGTTTATTGTATATACTGTACAGTATCTACAAAGATGACCTTTCCAATATGTTTCTTACTTTTTATACAGAGATTTTCACTACATTTGCATCCTATGCAATGAAATTTTCTCTGCCACTGTTTTATTTTATTATATCGTACTGTACAGTATATTTTTTCCAGTTCATTTATACAAAGCAGTGATATCTCCGTTAACTGGAACAATTGGTGCAGGGCACTTCCGGTAATGAGAGATTTCAGGGTAACGAGACGACTCTCTCGAACCCGGAAAAATGTCCCTCGTCCCCGTAATTTTCCGGGTAACGGGAAAATTTTCTCGGAATTTCCAGAAAATGGGCCTGATTTTCATCTCTCAAACGGGAAAAAATACTCCCCCCATCCCCGGAATTTTTTGGGTATCTGGAAAATTTTCTTGGAATTTTCCGGGAAATGTGCCCCTCGGAGAATTGTTCCCAAAGCCGGAATTTTCCGGAAAATTACGGCTTTGGGAACGATTTTCGAGAAAATTTCAGTTCCGGCGATCGGAGAGTTCCGGGTTTGATGGATTCCAGCTAACGGAGATATTACTGTATTCAGTTTTTATGGACATATTTTAGTGAAAGGTTGTACAGTACTGTATATAACTACTAACTGACTGCATTTTCCATAGGTTTCTGCAGTATGAAATCTTCACACCACTTGAGTTTGAGAACGAGTCTTACAACTACTTTGCATGTGTTGCCGAGTTTGGCAACAATACCGAAACTGAGGTTGGTATCTTTACAACTTTTGTTCTAGGGATCTTGGACCTTGTTCTTAAATATTAAAGGAAATTCATTAAAATAGTTAAATGTTAGTTAACCCTTAAGCCCCAGGTTAGGGTGCTGCTGGCAGTACCACCCGACTCGGGGTTAGATTGTGAAAAAAAAAAATCTATTTTTCCAAAAATAATAATGATAATAAAAAAGGCGGGAAAATAGGCCGACGTTCTGAAACGTCACCCGGGGCCTAAGGGTTAACAGTACTTATAGCATCTAATTTTTTTTTTTTTTTTTTTTACGGGACCTCCTGGACGGTGAACCCCTCACCCACACTTGATCTTTTGTTCGCCACCTCCCTCAGGTCATTACAGGCCCAAAGTTGCCCGGGACATAACCGATGTCCCGGAGCAGGGATGGCCCTGCCACACACGCCATAGCATCCATGTCGGCCACAGCCAGCACAGGGGTGGCGGGGGAATTGCCCCCAGCCTGGGTCACGAACACTTGTAACCTGGGGTGGCGGGATAGCTGGGCAGTTGCCACTGTGACAGCACCTGACACATCCACAGAAGCACTTAGGGCTGTCTAACTCCTACAACACCGTTTGAAGTGACCAACCTTAGAGCAATTGTGACATGTGGCCCCACTTGCAGGGCAGTTGCTTTTGCCCGAGGCATGCGTCACGCCGCAGTTTCCACAGTGCGCGTAACTGGGGTGTCCAGGTTGGGCGGCAGCTACCTCAGACTCACCGGTGACGTCATCACCAACCGCCGCTGCTTCCGGAGCTGTTCCCACCACTGCCTGGCCAGACGTACAACACAATACACCAGCATCTCTCACTGTTGCCTTAAATAGCATACACTTGTTTCTTAACACTTCAACACTATCATAACTCGAGTACCCCTGGAAAATTTCCCTTTTCAACACTGGGTTACTCAGGCCCACCATAACTTTACGTAATAGCATGTACTCAGAGAGATCGTTATCACAGGTGGGACATTTGAATTCACACTCCACTGCCTCTGCGAAGCAGCGTTGAAAATACCTTTTCATGGGCTCCTCTTCACCTTGTTTGCTGTTGAAAAACTCGTTCCATTTCACAGCTTGGTTTGACGATTGAGGAACCACTCCACTGATGGCGTCCAGGGCTTCCTTGGGCGAGAGCTGCTCCCACTGACTGCTGGGATATCTCGAGTCAATCACCCTTTGGAGTGCAGGGAAGCAGTTAAGATGAATGTGGAGTGTAGCCACCAGCTGTGACCATCCGTTCAATATCACCCACGTCGGACCGCCTCCACGTCCTAAACGCCGCTGCTGGCATTTCTGCGTCACGCTTCTATGAAGCGACCGCTGCTGAGGGCTTCATGGCCGGCGAAGGGAGGTGACCGTGTCCGCCAGTAGCCAGAGATCCCATCTGAGCCATCAATGCACTCATAGTCTGCTACTGGGCGTGCGTGGTGTTCCCAGCCGGTGTAGAGATGCCCTGGCGTCCCCTTGAGGGCGTGAGGAGTCGTGAATGTGTAGGGGCCATGTTGGCGTCCTCTTCAGGGTTGTTATGGCGTGTCAAGCCCTGGCATCCTACTCACTGCGCCATGTGAGAGGTTTGAATAATAGACCACGTTCTTTGGTGACTTTACTCCTGCAGCGTTAGACAGTGACTGGCAACCCGGCGCTGCCACAGACAAACTCCTGCCTGCCCCAATGGGAAAACATATCGTGCGATGATACTCCATCTCACAATCTCACAATCGCTTAATTATTTGAATTGATGAAATTTTCTTTCATCAATGATAAATGCAATAAATTAAAAGCAAAACCTTTATATAACATACACTGAGCTTAACCCAAGATTGTATATGGTTTACAATAATAATCATTCTCTGACCACTTTGTGTATTAGTATAGCTCTCTGATCATTCTTTACTTCCTTACTAGCCTTTACCTAACTTCTCTCCATCCTAATCCCTAATTTTCCATTCTCTTTTAATTTCTGTACATCCAATTTCTTGTTGCATCTTTTGGTGCTTAGAATTATTTACTTATCTATTTTTTGTTTTTGTTTTTTATTTATTATTACTTTTTTTCAGATATTTTGGGAAGAACCAGATAGTTATAACTTAACAGAGGCCAACATGACAGGTGCCTGGACTACCAACTATACCTTTATGAGCTACACATCATCATGCCTTTTCTACAGTGACGCCATTAACTCTTGGCAAATTGATGGCTGCAGGGTAACAAACAACTCTTCATTATGTTTTTGTTAATTCAAGTAACTCTTTTAGAGAGAAAACACTTGTATTTTTAAATAACTAAGTTGTCACTGTTGAACCATTATATGTAGTGTTGCACTGTACATTCAAGACTTCGTCTCACCGCATGACATTGCAGTGGTAAATTTATAGGGTGGCACAGAGGTCATGTGCTCCACCAGTTAGCAATGCCATCACACTTAAAAAAGTATTTTATTTATTTTATTCTTTTAACTTTGACATGGTCCAATTGTCCATTCATTTAATGCACAAACTGGTGCACTGTATAAAACCTTCTCTGATAAGTGACTTGGGATTAGCTGGGCATTGTGTGACTTATTGCAATTTATCGGTGATAATCTATGTTAAACATCGACATGTGTGCATTATATATCGTTCCTGAGAACTGTTGTATAAACTGTATAAATCTTCCTGAAAATGACCAGCCAAATGTCACTTTTCATATAACCAATGGAAACACCAATTGGGTCTAGAGGTGTATGAGCCTAAAAATGGAGAGGAGGAGAGCCAGGGTAGGCCAAGAGTGATATGGGGAGAGGATGTAAGAAATGGCATTTAAGTTAAGAACCTGTGCAGCATGGAGAACTGCCACCAGGTAATCACAGCTCACCCACACAGGTTTGGAAAAGGGCCATTAAATGATGATGATATTAAACCAAAGATTCAAGACAACTTATGTCAGATGCTACTTGTTGTCACATGAGATCCTACAGTATAATACCATTATGGCATAGTGCTGCTTGATGGCCATGACACAATATTTTGAAAGCTTGATGGTTCCTTATCAGCATTTTTCTCTGCTACTTTCATGTAATAATAGAGTATGAAGTAGCAAATGTTTTATAATATAGATTGTAAAACAAACAATGTATAAAACCATATAGAGAATAAAATAGTTAAAACAAAGAAAATAAATATTGTACCTGTATTGTTTTATTTCACAAAACATACAGTATACTATTCTCTTCAAGAAAGTAGCAGAGAAAAGTACTAAGGTAACTGACAAAGGAACCATCAAACCTTCAATATCCTGTGGCAGGATCACCAACCAGCTCTCTGTCATGATGATATTACACTGTAGGATCTCAAATGAAAACAATCAGCATCTCCCATCATTTACTTGGAAATACATTCTCTGTGAAAAAAATAATAATAATCCCACACAACCCTTCCTGAGTTATTGCATAATCCCAAGTACCTGTACTGTACTCACTTTGTTTACATGGCATGAACACAACTGTCACAGAACTATGGTGACAACGTTTTATGGCCATTGCCCACACTTGCATAGGTGAGTTGTGGTTACCTGATGGAAGCTGTTGGGTAAAACCAGTGCAGGACGGCTCCCAGTACTCACCACCAGAAACCCAATGCACCAGCCCAGAAAATATATTAGAGGCCAGGTGATGGGCACAGCTCTGGCTACTCAGTAGCCAATGGGCAAGGTGAAACAAACGGCCATAAGAACATAAGAATGGGGGAAACTGCAATGGGCCTATTGGCCCATACTGGGCAATCCCATATACACCCAACCCCTATTGCTCATATATCCATCCAACCTATGTTTGAAGCTATCCAGCGTATTTGAGTTAATGATGATATTTGGTAACTTGTTCCACTCGTCCACTACTCTTATTTCCAAACCAATGTTTACCTATTTCACGCTTAAATCTAAATTTGTCTAATTTAAAACCATTGTTACGAGCTTGCTCCTGGTTGGATAGTTTGAGTACCCTTAAAATGTCCCCTATGTTCAGCCCTGACTTCCATTTATACACCACTATCATATCACCCCTCACTCTACGTCTCTCGAGGGAGTGTAAATTAAGATGCTTTAACCTGTCTCTACTCAAGGTTCCTAATGCCCGGGATTAGTCTTGTCATTCTCTTCTGAATTCTTTCCAAGGATTTTATATCCATTCTGTAATACGGTGACCAGAATTGAACTGCGTAATCCAAGTGAGGTCTCACAAGTGCAAGATATAGTTTTAAGATGACCTCACTAGTCTTGTAACTAACACTCCTTTGTATGAACCTAAGTACTTTATTAGCCTTGTTATCGAGGAAATATACATTGTTTACTTGGCTTAAGATTCCTACTTATCATTACTCCTAAATCTCTTTCGCGGTCGGATTTTTCAATAACATCGTTGTTCATCTGGTATCTGGTTTCCCTGTTTACATCTTCTATAATGAGTACTGTACTTTTGTCCACATTGAATTTCATCTGCCATTTTTCAGACCATTCAAAAAATTTTTTTAGATCTTCCTGTAGTTTTGAGGAGTCCTCGTCAAATTTAATAACACGTCCTATTTTAGTGTCTTCAGCAAATTTACTTATGTTGCTGTCTACGCTGATATCTATGTCGTTTATGTATATAATAAATAATAATGGTCCAAGTACTGAGCCTTAGGGAACTCCACTAGTGACGTTGCTCCAATGGGATTTAGTGCCGTCAATGCTCACTTACTGTTTCCTGTCCTGTAACCACGTCCTAATCCATTTAAGGATATTCCCTTTGATGCCATGTGCTTCTACCTTTCTAATTAGTCTTTCGTGGTGGACTCTGTCGAAGGCTTTGCTAAAATCGAGATATACCACATCATAATTGTGCCCCTCGTCCACTGATTCGAAAACTGATGAAAAGAATGTTAATAGATTTAGTTAGATATGAACGCCCGCTTGTGAAGCCATGTTGGGAATCATTGATCAACTTGTGCTTCTCCAGGTGATTTCAAATAGAGTTTGAAATGATTGCTTCCAATAATTTGCCTACAATTGATGTTAGACTGATTGAACGGTAGTTAGAGGATAGTGATCTATCTCCCTTCTTGAAAATCGGTATTACATTTGTTATCCTCCAGGATTCTGGTACTACACCTGTTTTTAAGGACATGTAAACAACTTTGCTAAGGGCATACTAAGTTCTTCCTTACATTCCTTTAATACTCTGGCAAATATCTCATCAGGACCTGGTGACTTATTAGGCTCTAGGTTGTCTATTTGCTTACTAACTTCATTACTAGTCACTACTATCTCACTTAATTTATTTTCTTCACTATCTCTGTATAGAGTCGGTGCCTCGGGAATCATGTTTAAATTTTCGGTGGTGAAAACTGTTGAAAAATATTTATTCAGATTATTGCTCATTTCTCCGTCGTTATTAGTTAGCTCGCCGGTATCTGACTGTATTGGTCCAATCTTTTCTCGTGTTTTAGTTTGATACATTTGGTAGAATCCCTTGGGGTTTGACTTCGCCTCCCTTGCTATCTTCAGTTTATTATTCCTCTTTGCTTTTCTTATCTCGGTCTTAACCCTACCAGCCAACACCCTATAATAATCTCCGAGGTAAATTTCACCACGATTTATTCTCCTATTAATAGCCTTCCTTCGTCCAATAATATTCTTTAAATAATTATTTATCCATTTAGGGTCATTGTTGTTTGATCTGAGTTTTTTGTATGGTATGTTCTGCCTTTGTGCATGTTCTGCCTTTGTACATTAAGTAACTCATTATTTAAATTGTTGTGGAACTCTGCAACCTTAGATCTCGTTATCAGGTCAATCTCAACCATCAGGTCTCCGGGTAGGGTGAGGTTACCCTCTGTGGGTACATTGTGTGAGGTCACCTTATGTGGGGTCATGTAGTTCACCCCCAAGTGTGATTCCCCTTCTCTCAGCTGCCTCTTCAAACTATCAAAGTTTGCCCTTCTGAAATCTGGGATTTTAGAGGAATTTTCCTTGCGGCTGCCCTGAAATTCTAACTGGAATCAAATTACTTTGTGATTGCTGTTAGCAAGTTCGTTCCCTACCTCGACATTACTAATGAGGTTTTCTCTGTTTGACAGAACTAAATCGAGTATATTATTACCCCAGGTGGGTTCGGTTATATGTTGACTTAGGAAACAATCCTGGATTGTTTCAAGAAAATCCTCTGATTCTGAGTTACCTGTAAGGTCAATCTAATCTATTCGGCTAAAGTTAAAGTCGCCTACTATACAGACTTTGCTATGTATGGAAGCCCTGCGCATTTCGTCCCAAATAAGTCGCTCATTAACTCTATCAAGATTAGGAGGTATATATATTACTCCTGTGATTAATTTTTCCCTACCATTGATTAATTCTATCCAATTTGTTTCTGTATTCCGCTCAGTTTTTATTTCCTTATATGTAAGATCGTTTTATGTGGGTTCTCCTCATGAGGAATCCTCATGGTAAGATTTGCCCATTGCCCAAACCATGGGCGTAGATCACTTTATAGGTGGTGCAAATAGTGGTGTTTGCATGGGACTTGCTCCAGGTCTGCCAACATAGGAAAAAGGGGAATGTTGGTATGCCATACATGAACAGCTGATCACAATAACACACATTTCATGGAGACGATGGGGACCAAAGGGACAAATATGCAACTTACAGTGCCACACTCTCAGCGGCAGAGACAGACACTTATTGCTTTGATTGTCGAGAAACAAGCAATCATGTAAGATAAATGACATGAGCCCAGTAACGTGGAGAAGAAAAAGAGGGCTTGGGATGAAATTAGGGCGGCATACTTCAGCATCAGTATTGACTCGACCCTGACCTAGGCTAATATATACTATAAGTATTGAATTATTTCATTATTTTGGATATACTATCTAATTAATATATCGCCATTAAAAATATTGACAACTAACAAAAAATCTTCCTGGAGTGTGTCAAACAACCTATACTGTAATGTTAGTTATGGACAATAAAAATAAACTAAGGATATACTAAATCAATAGAATTTTCAAATGTATCTTCTACATTAGTGGCAAGTGAGTTCACATGTTTGTTAGTTTAGAGTAGGCCTAAAGAAATCAACAAAACTGAAGGGGTATTTCTATAGTAAGACCGCACAGCTTCAACACAGGCATTACCCACTATATATTGCGAATAGATATTAAAAAAGCAATTTTAATTATAAAAAATCGAAAGG